TTGGTGCTTGTTTGAAGGCTAGGATGGGTGGCTCTGGGAAGATCTTTTTAAGAGTAGGGTCTCTTTCTAGTATGGGTTGCAGTTGTTTGAGGATTTTCTGTACAGGTTCGAGGAAGGGGTGATATGTCCTAACCAGCGGTGTGTGATTTGTGGGGGGTTTTCTTCTGTACTGCGGCAGTTCTTCAGGTGGTATCCAGGTGGCTCTTTCAAACCCCAGGAATACGTTGCAACATTTTTGCAAAAAAGATTGTGCAAGAGCTGTGGCTGGCTTTCCCATCATGCCTTAAATAGTCCATGTGGCCAGGCATCAGCTGGTCAAGACTCCCAGTCAAGGGCTGCTATGCTTGAGGACAGGCTGGGGATACAGGCTGAGCTGAACAGGCTTGCTAGGTGGGCAGATCAAAACCTGATGATGTTTAATATGGAGAAATAATCTAGAATACACTTACAGGCTTTGTGGTGCTACACTTGCCAGTACCACAACTGAAAGAGACCTTGGGGTTGTGATAGACCACAGAATGAACATGAGCTGCCAACGTGATGCCATAGCTGGCAGAGTGAACAAAATACTGGCATGCTTCTACTGATGCATCTCAAGCAAGACTAAGGAGGTCATCCTCTCACTGTACTTGGTCTTGGTGAGACTGCAGCTAGAGTACTGTGTCCTGGGCACTGCCCTTCAGGAAGGATGTGGAGAAGCTTGAGAGAGTGCAAAGGAGGGCTGGAGAGCAGGTCATACAAAGAGAGGCTGAAAGACATGGGACTGTTCAGCCTGGAGAAGAGAAGGCTTAGAGGGGACTTGGTGGCAGCCTATAAGTATATTGGGGGTGTACATCAGGGCCTAGGGGAGCATCTGTTTACCAAGGCACCCCAGGAGAAGACAAGAACCCACAGACACAAACTGCTTGCAAATCAATTCAGATGGGACATAAGGAGAAACTTATTTATGATTCAAGTGATTAGGCTCTGGAACAGGACCCCCCCCCCCCCCCCCCCCCCC